GGCGTGGCCATCCCCTCTGGGGGATGATTTCTCGCTTTCTGTCTCTGTCTGTCTGTCTGGCGTGTGCATGAGCACTATAGCAAAAACCTCTTAAAAAAATAAAAATAAAAAAAAAAGGTACCAGAGCTGGCTCAGGGATATCAAGAGCAGTAGCCGTGGCTGACTGGCTCCATAACCTAGTGGTTAAGGGATCTTGATCCTGCATGGCTGACCACAGATTGAATACCAGCCCTGGCAACTTGAAAAACATGCTAGGCATGCCCAAATCCCAACAGGATGGATAAATGAAGAAAAGGGCTTTTTTTGGGGGGAAGGGGGGCCGGAATCACCATCTTCCAGTAATTAAGCAAAATGATGAACACAAAGAGGAAGAGGAGAGGCACCTGATGTATGTTCTCTAGGCCTTTTAGAAAACATGGAGTGATTCCTTTGGCAACATATATGCGAATCTACAAGAAAGGTGATACTGGAGACATCGAGGGAATGGGTACTGTTCAAAAAGGAATGCCCCAGGGAGCCAGCAGTTAGCGTAATGACTATGTTGCTGGACTCCCACGTAGCCGACCACAGTTCACATCCCGGATCCGGTGGCTTAAAACTCACGCCGGGCGCATGTGCGTGCGTGCCCAAGATCCTGAGAGGAGAATGGAGGAGAAGGGATTGTGGCGTGACGCTTCCTAAAACATGTGAAGGAAAATGACCAGAAAAAAAAAGAAGCCAAAGAGAAAGGTACCTGGGTTCAACTAATGCCCCAGGCTGCTCCACCCAGAGAAGCACACTTTGTGAGAACCAATGGAAAAAAGCCTGAGCTACTAGAACCTATTCCCTATGAATTCATGGCATGATGGGTATTAAAAATAAACTAATCTGTGGTCTATAAATAAAGCAAAAAAAAAGAAGAAGAAGAAGAAGAAAAGGGATTATGGTGTAAACACAACCCATTGGGGGGTGATTTCTCCCCATCCCTCTCTCTGTATCCTTCTCTGGTGAGTGTATGCACCCTCTGGCACAAAAATAAAAAGACAGGAAAGGAGGTAGCCTTGAGAACAGTGACCAAAGAAAACAGGCCAACATTTGACAGAAAAGTAGTAAGGCCACCCACCTCCAAATAGATCACGTAAGTTTGAACCTGGAGAATCTTAACCATTGCAATAAGGGCAATAAGGGCGTATAAAGCAGAGGCCCTTCTACCACCCTCATTCACTCTTCTGACCCTTGTGTACATGCATGGAAGGGGAGCAGCCTCCCAAAAAAGAATGAGATCTTATTTATAAAAGCCAGACAGGAGACATATATAAATAATATAGCTACCAATTGCAATTTGAGATGCCTATGTCTCTCTAAGCTCCAGCTCAGAGATAACTAAAAATCTCCAGAAATTCATTCTTTCTTCCCCCTAACTCTTAAGTTTTATTTAAATAACCTTCCATGAGAACACAGTGGGCCAATTACTACTCCCTCTTGTAACACAGACTAACCAGACCAGGGGAGAATAAGCATGCCTGCAGCCAGCCTACCAGCTAGTCAGGTGACAGGTGAGGTGTCTATCAATGGGGACAGCCACAACCTCATCCCTGGCTAGCTGCTCAGGGATTGTCCACAGTCAAGCAGGAGTTGTTGATGGTCTCATCTATGGACATGATAAGGCACACAGCCTCAGATGCGGCTGTCAGGGCACTGATCCAAGCCATCACTGGCTCCCACACGAAGACCTCAAAGTTGTCAGCAATGTCCTCATTGTTGATGTCCACCATACCATGTGCCCCCCTGAGCATGCCAAGCCTGCAGCTTGTCGAGGATGTTTGTGGCATCAAGGCCAGCATTGTCACTCAGCTGGACTGGGACGATCTCCAAAGCCTTGGTGAACACCCTAATCAGCAGCTGCTGTTTCCCTGGAATAGTCCTTGAGTAACCCTGCAGATACTTGGAGAGCTCCATCTCAATAGCTCTGCCACCAGCCTCCACTGAATCCTTCCTGATGGCCCTCCTGAGGAACATGATGGCAACTTGCAGGGACCACTCTATCTCCTCCATAAACTACTCAGCACCACCACAGAGGATGAAGATGCATGTCTTGGCCTTGGGACAGCCAGTGAAGAAGTTGTCTCTTTCTCCACCGATCTAGGTCTCTTCAAACATTTGGCAGCTGCTTAGCACATCTGCCAACAGAGTGTTCACACTGGCCTGGATAGTCTCCACAGGCCATTATTGTCCTCTTCAGATCCTCCTCAGACACTCAGCTAGCACAGAACATGTCCCTGTTGGCAAAGTACTGGGTGGCCACACCCCCAATGGGAAGTTTGGGCAAGACAACTTTGGCTCCTGAACAATGGATCCCCTCTAACTTGTCATAGAGAACGTTCTATTCAGCATCAACAATCACCTGATAATCCTCAACAGTATACTCTGATTTTGCCATTATGTTTCTCAGCTTTCAGCTCCAGCTCAACATTTAAATGAGTGATCCTGGGATTATTGTACTTTTTTTTTAAGTTGCCAAGTTTTGTTCAAGTTGTCCGGGTTACAGATAACGTACCTAACTCTATATTCCCACTGCCTTTCAGGTAGTCCCCTGAGCAGGTCAGCTTAGCCTTTCCCTCAGTCTCACTTCTTGTACTCCTCCTTCTTGTCTTTCTTGCCATCCTTCATGATCTGGGAGGCCAGAGAGCCCATGGCATTTTGAATGACTTTGTTGTTGGGATCCACAACCAGAAGTTTCTCTAGGACACTCTGAAGGGAACTCCAGGTCCTGCCTCATGTCATAATCATCCTACCCCTTGGTTGGCTCAGATGTGTCCATGGCTGAGCTGGCATCAAGATCTGCTGATTCTGCCTGGCCAGACTCTGCTCCCTACAGGGACATCCCTATGGTCTAGGCACTCTGCTCTGCCTCAGTCATACTGCTCAGTTCAGGGAGCCTCATGTAGCTAAACTCCTGCTGGCTGATGGTCGTCTTCAACAGGGCATTGTCTAGGCCTCGTTCACCTTCAGCCCCAGCTGCAGCTATCCCAGTTTCAGCAGCAGAGGCAGCTGCTGCCTGCTGAGTCTTCTCCCCTGCCACTGCTGCTGCTCCTCCATGGAGAAACAAAGGGCCAGAGTCAACTCAGGACCAGCACTGGGATCCACTCCAAATTCAAAGTCACTGGCACCAAGACCCAGCATGGCACCACCCTCGCCAGCCAGAATCAGAGAGCTGATGAGAGTATCAGCCAAGCTGGGGTCAGGAGGAACTGTCACCAGATGAGAAATGCTTCCATCTTTGCCATTCAAAGTGTTTACAAAGGCAGTTCACTCTTCCATGTTCACCTCCTCTTCCCCAAAGTTGATGATGTCAACATTTACTTTCTCCTTTTTGAGGCATTTAGCCAATTTCACCAGATCCTTTTCGCTGTCCTCCATGGGGCTCCCCACGAAGGCGATGATGCACACCTTGTGGTTCTTGCCCTGCTGGTGCTTCAGTGCCAAGTGGGCCACAAGGATGCCAGTGCAAAAGTGATCTTGCCCTTGGACTGGACATGTGGAGCTTGGAGAGGACGTGGCCGGTGTTGGGGGTGAGCATGGTCAGCACTTCACAGTCACTGACTGTGTGATAAGGTCCACATTATTTTCCGGGTTGTTGTGGGATTTCAAGTGACACACTATGTTGACAGCATCCTGCAGCCGGGTAGGTAAGACGTACCCATTCCACATATACTCACTATTGTCCCCACAAACCATAGTGCTTTCCAATACCATCTTGCCACCTTCTGCCCTCTTTACTGTACTTTTTGGCCTGCATTTCCAACCCAGTGTAAAAGAAGATCTTGAATGCAACACCAGCTACCAGCTGAGATGCCTCTAGGGCTCCACCCTGCACCTTTGTGATTCCAAGCACTTTAAGCTGTAGCAAATCATCAAGCATAACCGCCACATCCACCACCTCTTAGCAAAGAAAGCTTTCTGCTGGGGGATCGGCTTGGAGCTCAGCGTTGTCATAGCACATTTCACCAGCAGCTTCCTCTGCTCTGCTTTATCTTGCTTCTTCACAACCACAGTGATTGCTCTGATCTTGTTAACTGCCAACTGAGTGGTTGTGAGGAAATATGAGTGATGTTCTGAGGGTGCGAACCTTCCTCCACATATGGTTTCACCTGCTTCAGTAATTCTCAGCCAGCAGGGCCACTGAGTTGGTGCCATCACCAACCTCAGCATCTTGGGATTTGGCAATGTCCACTACAGTCTTCACTGCAGTTGAATGACATCAAGAAGTTTCAGCATTGTGGCCCCATCACTAGGAATAGTTACTTTGCCTTGGCTATCCACAATTAGCTTGTCTATGCCACAAGAACTGAAGGTGGTTCTTATAGTCTGAGTAATCAACTGGCAGGCACTGATATTACTCAAGTTGGGGGATGCCTTGGGAGCTATCAGTCCCCTCTTTCATCAGGATAACTGATGTGGACATCATCTTGGAAGCTGTTCAGTGGCCCGCCACTCTTCTCTTTGACTGTACAGGCTGCCCCCTGAAATCCACTCTTAAGAGAATCTTAATGGGTCATCCCTCCCAATGTCTTACAAATAAAAAATATCTATTTCTCTCCTATTTGTTCCTCATTTGTTTTGTAATCAGGAAATTAAACTGCCATTTCTGGATCCAAATTGCTGAAATCCAGGCATACAGAACAATTTATTGCACCTGTATGAGTGGGAAGAGGAGTAGAATGCACATCCTTCCAAAAATCTTCCTCACCTGGTTCCCTATTTCCAAATAGCTAAAGGAAAATGTCAGACTAATTCTTCAACTCAGGTAGCAACAACAGCCCAACTAGCACATGACAGGCAGAAATGCTGCCACTTGCTGGAAATGTTCAGGAAGGAGAAAGGGGTTGCTTTGTAGAAAATGAGCACATCTATGTTAATTGCAGTGTTATTCATGATTGCTAAAACTTGGAAGCAACCCAAATGTCCATAAGCAGATGAATGGATTGAAAAATTGAGGTATACTCTGTGGAATGCCACGAAGCCATTAAAAACAACAAGACCTTGGCATCTGACAAAAAGTGGACAAATATGGAAGATTTATTGCTGAGTGAAGCAAATCAGACTATGAAAGAGAGACAGTGTATGTATCCACTTAACATATACTGACTGTCTATACTCTTTGATAGAGACTGAAAGATTGGAGGACATAAAAGCATTGAAAATAGTTATGGACACTGGAAACAGGAAAGTAGAAGAGGGCAAGAGCATAGGGAAGGAAATTAGGGAGAAAAAATTGAGAGGTAAGACATTTGTGGAACACAGAAATGTTTTATTATTTGTTGATGATGTGTATAGCATTTTCAACTGGACTGATCTGAGGTGTATTTCATGTTGAGTAAATTCTCTATATAAACTAAATGATGCATAGCAATTGAATGTATAAAAACTATTGTAATTTTTAATTTTTTAAATAAAAAAAGAAAGAAATGAGCCTTTTCAAGAAACTGCTTGAACTGTGGGCTATTCCTTTGTTTGTTTGTTTACTTGCTAAAATATTCTTCTGCTGCTTATCCTCTCAGAAATGGTAAAGTCCTATCTCAAGACTTTCACCATAGGTTGCTGTCTTCTTTGCAGTCTATTCCCCTCCATCCCCTACCCTCCATCAGATCAAGTCAAGGAGATTCCCAAACACACCACAGGCCCACTCCACCCTATGGCTGCTCTCTGCTCCTCTGTCCCCCTAGACTCCTTTCCCCAGTCTCCTCATGTCTGTGTAACTGTTTTATGGGACCTTGGGAGGTGCAAGGAGAAGAGCCCTTGGTTGAAGCTCTGGAGCCTCTTCCTTCCATGTCCTCGGCAAACATCTTAGGACAACAGCTCTCCAGTTTCTCTCTTGAGGATAGTCTCATTTGAGCCATTTAGGTACACTTTCAGAAGCTGGAAAGTCAAACCCAGTATCAATAAAAATCCTGTCTCCTGTGCAGTGTGAATGCTCTCCCTTCTCTCAGTCCAGGCCTGATATATAGCTTGGGTAGATAAGAATATGTCTACATCTTCTCTCCAGCTTCTATCTCTTTCTACCTAGTTGCCCTTCTTTCTGAAGAATCAGAGCCTGGGAGGAAGCATGAAGGGAGGAGAACATTCTGACATGACTGATACTATTCTCCTCCACCAGCAACACTATGATGTGACATGTATTCCGTGTTAGGGTTCTCTGTGGGTTTTAGAAGTGATCCCAGGAAGGCCATGCTACCCAATACTTGGACTTGAAGTATGAACTCCTCATGATTTTCTATACCTTCTCTCCCCTTACTGTTGCCCCTTCACACACCGCATAACTTATAAGAGTGTTATGCTCCCCAGGCAGCCTGTGCTTTTCAGTCTGTGTCCAAGAAGGCCCAGGATTCCTATGTTCCACTGCAGTTATGTGGTCCATGAGAAACTGACAAATCCCTGGCAGGTCAAGTGGAAATGCACGTAGCCTCACAGCCTCGACATTACAGGGTTCTCCCAGCAGCACCCACCATCAAATTTATCTCTGCAGGAAGTAGGCCCTGTCTTTATGCTTACATTACTATCTCACTCCCAGGCATTTGTGCCAAGTTCTGCTAAGAGTTCTCTCACCACGCTCCATTCTGGGGGCAACCTCAGAACAGGTCTACTTTTTCAATGGTTCAGCAAACATCAAGCCCAGGAGTGAACTGCCAGCTTCTTCTCTCTCTTGTCTTGGAAGAGGTAGTAATATCTCCCTTCTCTAGATGGAAATGGGAGGAAAACCCCACCACGTTCACTAGGTCAACAACCTGCCTCTAAGAATCCTAGCAAGAACCTTCTCCTGATACATTCACAATCTTCTGCATTTACAAAGTGGCTGGAGGGTACAGAAGGCGCAGGGGTGGGGAGTGGGCAGTGAGGATCACAGGCTATCATGGATACCTCTAAGTAAACTCTGTCTAGGTCTGGAAACTCCTTGGTGAGCTCTTTAGGGTAAAGAAGGAATTGGGTCATGCTATTTTCAGCGTTAAGGCTTCTATAGAACATCTGAAACCACAGGGAAAGTTTTACATGTAATCTTTCTACACATTTGAGTGTTCCCCATCCTTCAAAGTCTTACACCAGCCCCCCAGCCCCTTCAAGAAGCTTTCTGCTTTGACAGCTCTGGCCCTCACTAAGAACTCCTTTTCTGGAACATACAATGTTCGTAATGTCAGAACAACACCCCCCCGATGAGTAAATATATTCTGTCTCATGTTGGTTTCTTGTTGTTTCTCCATATTGGTCCCAATAGCATGACAGACTTTTTGAAGCTAGAGGTTGTGCTTTATACTTATTTTGTATCCCCTATGGCTTTTCCCACTTTGCTGTCAACATAAAGGTGCTCAGTACATTATTTGAAGTGAGTTGAATTGAAATTTCAATCAGACATATACTGAGTGGAAAGGGTCTCAATGTGGTTAGGGGTGTGGTGCACAGAGAAGAGAGACTGCACACAAAGTTTCATTCTGAAATCTGGAAGCTGTAAAATCGAATAGGTACTATGTTAAGGTAGTGCATGTCGATGTTCCTCTGAATTAGGGAGTGCTATTTATACACCTCTGGAAATAAAAATCTGGGCTCAGAATCCAACTAGGTCCATCTGCATAAGTGGCCCCTGGGTGCTGTGATCAGGAGAGGGGGATGAACAAGTGAATTGAGATGTTGTCTCCTTCCCCACCTTAGCTTAAACCCCGTCCCACCCAGAAAGTTCTGTGACTAGACAGGAGTGTCAGACACTCAGATATGGAAGGAAATAGCTATGAAACCAGGTGCCATAAGTTAGATGGGCATATCTCCCTCTTTTCTCCTCTCCTCCCTCCTCTCTTCTCCCGTTCTCTATTCTCTTCTTTTACTCACAAACACATGGGGACATGTATTAGATGTCTTCAAATAATTCACAAAGAATGCATATTATGGAAAAATATGCATGGATTTCCAATTTTTCCACCATAATAAATTCATACTTTAATTTCATTTCTCCATGAACTTTTTAAAGTCTCCTCACACATACTCACAGTGCATGGAAAAGGAGTTATTTGAGACAAAATCCAGTGGTGTGGCGATTAAGGCAGCTGGATCCCACATGGTCAAATCCACTGTTCAAGTCTAGACCTAGTGGCTTGAAAAATATACCAGGCATGTGTGCATGCATGCTCAAAATCACCAAAGAATAGAGGAGATGGAATTGTAGGGATCCCCCTACTTTCTCACTTCTCTTTCTCTCTCTCTCTCTTTCTCTCTCTCTCTGGCAAGTGCAAGCATTCTATAGAAAATTTTAAAATTAATAAAACCAACAACCACAAAATAGAGTTACTTGAAAAATGCAAATAAATAATGAAGGGCGAGTTAGTTCTGCTTTCCTTTACCTTTGAACACCTTCTCCATCAACAGGGAATTTTTCAAGAAATATCATAGCGTTTTTCAACCCCATCAAGGTGCACTTAAAAACAAGTAACTATAAAATGTCTACTTGTTGTAAGTAAAAAAGGAACCTAAGGTCTTGGAGTCCATCCGCTACCGATTACAGAAATGTCTCCATTCACACTAACACCCAAAAAGACATGACAGCAACCACACAGGCGAGATCAAGAAATCCAGGCTGTGTTCATCTGTTTTTGCATTGCTGACAGAAATACCTGAGTTTGGATTGTGTATATAAAAAAACAGATATTCACAAAACTCACAATTCTGGTGACTAAAAAGTCCAAAGGCATCACAGTATGGCAGAAGGCAGAACT